TAACTTCAGGAGCCTTTGTGTTGATCGCAGACTTCAGGCAGGGCAGAGATCTCAGTTTTGAAATCCACAGCTTCACAAACGCAGGCAGGTGGGTAGAAGGGAGAGGATCCAGTTCCCAGGCTGGTTGGGCTGCCATGCGAGGTCAGCCCTTACTGTGAGAAATGAGAGGATCTGCATGGAAGAGACTTCACGCAGACACCAGCTGTGGGGAAAAGGTTGTCAGCGTGGGGACACTGGTGGGTACCAGGAGCCTAGGCAGGAGATTCGAGTCCAAGCAAAGGCGCCCTTCGTTCACCTCTCTTCCCCGCTGCTCCTCAGGACTGCTTCTTGGCTCTTCTTCTTGATGTCCTTCTCTGGAGAACACTTACAAATGGCGAGCGTAAATGCTGTGCAAGAGTGAACTGGCCTTTCAGTTTGCCCTTGGACTTTGCTTCTGTTGCTTCTGCACCTCTTTGTGTGGTCTCTGACTGCTGGCCTTCAGTCCTTGACTGCCTTCTGCAGTCCCTTTTTTTTTTCCCTTCTTTTTTTTCTTTTTTTTTCCTTCCTTCCTTCTTCTATCTTCTCTGCAGGAGAGCAACCCGAAGCACATTGTCCTGGATCCTACTGGCACTACCCTGGGTGTGTGTCTCCAAGCCGTCTTACATCTGCCAAGGCATGGAGTAGCTATCTGGTTTCTTCAAGCATATACCAATAGAAACAGAGGTAGACGCCATCGCAGATGTGGATGGGCTTGAATCATGGTTGTGCTTTGGAGTACAGCTGCTGTGGATGCAGCCGTGTGTTGTAAACAGCTCGGGTTAGTGTTGTGGAGTCGTTACAGAAACACCGTGGCGGCACTACTGGTCCGAAGGCTAAGAATGCACCTTTCAAGATAAACTGGTTGCATCTGTTTTATCTCAAAGCACAAGAGTTTTACGCAGGCAAAACCCACAGTCGGCAGGAAATGTGTTTTTTCTGGTTGTGTCCTTTTATTCTTTCAACAGTAAAATTAACTATGCTACTGTGTTACTCAGTGATGAGACCTTATTTAAAGCAAAACAAGAAAACAAAATTTAGGAACAGCCAATAAACAAATGCTGAAGTTGACTGTATGAATTATGGTGCAGTAAATTCAACTTCTACTGATTTTTTGGTATGAAAGAGACGGAAGAATTCCAGTTCGATTTGGCTTTATTTCTCAGGCTTCTTTGCTTTTTGTCTTGCTTTTAATGTTAGATAGATTATCCCTCTTCAGTTTGGCTAAAGGGAGGCTCTCGCTGTGTGGTGTGTGGACCCACCCCTGCAACATGGCACATGTTTGGGAGTAAAGCTGTTAGGAAGTGGCACTTTGGGCATAGATGCTTGCAG